TATTAATGATAAGTAATTAACCAAATGAAATAATTTTCCTCATTAAATATTTATTTTCAATAAAGAAATTTGATGCATGTTAACAATTTAGAAACTGATCAGAAGGTTGTCGACATGAATAAGTTTTGAGTACCCTTGAACTGAATAGCATTTCAATCTTCAAGTATTGGTTGAGCATTTGACATATCCACATATCCATACAGACAGACAGACAGACAGACAAACAGACATTGGTATGACGTTATCCTCTCATTACGACAATACAATGCACAAAGGAGCCAACAATGTATTTACAAATCTAAGAGCAGCACTACAAAAAGTAATACATGTCAAAGTAGTCTGGTAGAGGAAAAAGAGGAAATTAACATTTTTAAAGAATCAAAGTCTTGAATGTGTACTTTGTGCCAACAGTGGTGTTTTTACTATAAAATCCACTAAAAATGCATATACCCATTTAAATCCTAAAATCTCTGTTACCATTTAAAGAAGATAATTGAATTTTTGGACAATTTATGAAGTGTTTTTTTGACATTATCAACACCAATCATGACTGTGCAATCCCTGCATCATGGAAACCTGCTGAATATCATGAAAGGAGTTCAATATCCCACATACTACAAAGTATCTAGTGTATAATAGTATATTCACCCAAAGTAGAAATTTGCAGTAATTATCACAAATCTGATAGAACTTCATGCAAAGTGCATGTACCCACAAATCAAATATCAATGTAGTTGGGGAAAAGCTTTCAAGTAAAACATGTTTATGCAAAAGCTGCAAACTGCACATGGACACTTCTGAAGAAACCAGAATGGTAAATACATTGTGTTCTTTGAAGTATGTTTTAATGGGTTTAATGACCTCCTATATGACCAACAAATGTTGGACCCTGAGAGAAGAGTCTTATCAAATATTACATATGACAGGCACACCTGTAGCAGTCAACAAAATTCAAATAAATTATACACCTTGATAAAAGAGCATCAATGTCTCCCAATGTTACAATTATTATAGTCTACCACACTTTAGTTTTTCTGGATGTACACAGCAGGTTACCATGAAGTGTGGTTTTCATAATAAGCAGAAATGGCTGGAATAGTATAAACCATTGGAAATACCTCATGAAAATATCCTAATTTTCTAATCTAGAAAATATTGTGTTTTTTTTTAAAGAAATTAAAGCAAATTTCAATGTATATAGTCTGAATTACAAATTAATTTCACAAGAAAAAATTTTTGTGAATGTCATGTCAAATCACAAAATTTTGTAGGTGTAACAGGGATTCTCTAGTTTTTCCATTTGAATTTCGTCCTTTGCAGAATATAATAGGAAGCCAATCAGTGACGGCCTTACTGTTGGACTGTGATTTTGGTTTCAAATTCACTAGAAATCTGTTCTAGGTATTTCAGGTAATGAGGTGTTCATATGTAAGGGATTTTCCATGCAAAAATGCTGAATGTGGCTGGCTTGATGTTATCCCAACAAAACGTTTGGCTGTGGGAGTTTGTGATTTTTTCTCTGAAATGTAGTAATCTGAAAAATTCTTTCCTCTTATAGATTCAAGCTGTATTCAAGATGGCTGCCCCGTATAGTAAATATCGGTAAAGTTATTACATTTATTTTATTACATGTTTTCCTAAATTTTGATCAAGACCTGATTCAGCCAAAGATTAAAAATTACAAAAGCAATTGTAGAAAAAAATTAAATTATTTTGGCATTCTAAGGATATATAATTTTGAAGAAACATCAGAGTTCAATTCAGATGATGCTATCATAGGCAATACTCGATAACAGCACTGAGTGTAATTTATATTTATATTCAATATATTATATATATTTATAACAAAAATGCTGTTATATGTATTTCCTTGGTATGCTTCTGGTTGATAGGAACTCCCCTTACTGATGTTGTCCATGACAACCATGTAGTATCAGTAGTTCACCGAAAGACCATTTTTTTTGTCTTTATTTCTATTGAAATAGACAAGTCTACTTCTTATTTAATCTGGGGAGTGAGGTCACATGACTCAAGTCATTAGAACAAAAATCTTAAGATTTGAATTTGCATCACCTCTATAGTACAATTAATATACCAGGACCTGCCTTTACATTTCCCATGATGCATTGCATTACATGTAAATTTTCATCTGAAAAAGTAACAGGTAATAACAAGTCCCTATCTACTGTCAATACATTTCAAGATTGGTGGTTTTCAAAAAATTGTCATAAATAAACATATTTACCTAATATGACTTTACCATGACAATTCACTGATCTCTCAATTAGGCAACTGAAATTCACAAATAAAATAGGGCAACACTCATTCTACCCAAATATCAAAGTAGTTAAGACTAAAAATGAATTTTCTATAAAATGAACAACTTCTAATAGAGTTCTAATAACTTCTAATAAAAACAAACATCAGCGCATTCCAGCTTGCAGTTTTCAAGAAGAATTATTTCAATGTTCAGAAAAAGTCTGTATGAATTCATTTGCAGATTATTATTATGCAATATGTCTCACCTCAAAACCTCATTAATCTGCTGTCATGGCAACGACAGACATTCAATTATCTTATTATCTCTGTCGGTTGCTGAATTACAGTTAAGAAAAACATTAAAAAATTGAAAATTGACAGAAAATGTTCAAATGTTAGTTTCCAATCACCGAGTGGGACAACATAGAAATGAAAATGATTTAATACTACACCCCGTGTCAAGGACGCCAGGTACAGATGATTTAACAAGATTACCACCTACCGGGATCTCCGACTTTATATTCGCTGAAATTAGTCGCGCTTGCAGACATCTGGCCACTGCATGATGCGTGAGCTGCTTCCAGCATAGCTCGAATGTCCTCCATAATCGAATATATCTATGCGATGAATACTGGTACACAAGGTCGCTATGAAGCAATCCGGGGATGCAACCAGTCTTCACTTTTTAATACTGTACCGTGTACGCAATCCACTATAAATGTAATGTTGATCAACAAACTGACCTTATACTAGTATAACAGTTCTACAGCCAATTGAATCTTCTAATGGAAGAGTGTTAATAATCACTATCACTTTCAAAATAACGGTAAAATTATTTATTTATCATTTGGCTCGTCCGTCGAAACGAGACTCAAAAGAACGACCACGTACGTCCCCCAACGAGAGAACGCACACCCACTTTTGGATGAACTGAGAAGTGATTTCTTCTGTGAATAAACTACTTTTTTGTCTCTGAAAAAAATCATAAACATCGGAATCATAAGTAGACTTTGTCCAGGATTGATGGATTTAAGTGAAATTTAGAGCAATTGAAATGGTCGAGAATTAAAAAAAAAAACTGACATACTTAGCGATCAGTCGCAGAGTAAACCAGATACTCATCTAGTCTGGTGGGGGTGCTCTGGATCGGATTCACTGGCAGCCACACTGTTTACATTGTATGGACTCACCTGGAAAATTGACAGCAAACGTTATCACCGGCCAATGAATGGTGGGTGATGACTTTCACAACAAAAATTTTCAGTCGTTCTCGGTTTACCACTGTTTTCTATATTTTCGGCCTTCAAATCCTAAGTCACGTTTTCAGCAGAATGCATATTGTTGTGGTGCGAGGGTCGCCTCGGAGAACAAACCATTATGGCAAAGGAAGAGATAATTCGTGGGGTTTCCTTTTATTTTATTTGTTGGCACATGTTACACCATTGATATTTTTATATTACCTCATGAAAGTGTTTGGCTTAGTTATCAATTACTTAGAAACTGGAATACTATACGTACGTCAATTATACGAGATTTTTTGATCTGCCCTTCCAAAAGTATAGCTATGTCCCTTCAAAATGTATAGTGCGCATTAACCCAAATACCCTTTCCCTCGCTCGCATAATTGATTAAGTGATACAATTCAAGAAACATTTAAAAAACTGGAAGGTAATGTCCAAATATACTCTTAATTATAATAACAGGATGATTCCAGCGTCGGAAATATACATTCGCTCAAATTTAATTCGTCAAATGGTCCGAATTTGTTACAAGTGGCCCCTGGGTATTATTTTGGCGTCCATGGAACAAGGTAGGTAATAGGGTTAAGGCCAACTAGCGCGGGAAAGAAATGATAGGGGTGGTAAATACATATTTTTTTTTTAATGTCTTGCTTATATTTGGAAATCTGCATTACTGTGAATAATCGACGTATGCAACATACAGTGCGCGTGTTTTTGCTTTAAGAAATTACGTTAGTGATGTGAAAGTTCATACGAGTTTATAAATGGCCAAGTAGTTCTACCGTATTGGTCCCTCAGAATCAGTGTTCCACCCCTATTTGTGGTTTGGGCCATTGAGGAGTAAGTTCTCGACAAAAATAAATACAATTCACAGCCGATATCAATTGCCTCTCGTAGTAATTTTAGTCTTATATTATTTTGCAGACATTTTTGCGTGTTGTCGCTGCTTTCGCTTGATTTTCTTTCACCATTGCGAAGAAACTATTACGCAAAAATTGCAAATAGAACTGGAAGCCGTTTGCGCCATAGTTGCTAAATATTGCTGGACATTTTGCATGTGTGTTTGCTTAGCCTTGAACTTGGTTGGAAGAACTTGAAATCTTTCATGTGTTCAACCGACCTCAACAATGGAGCCCTCTAGTTCGCAGGTTGTTGGTGAGTACATAATCCCAGTTCCTTTCTAAGTTGTAGTTTTTCTGTGGGTATGTCCAGTTGTTGGGAACTCCCGCGAAAAAGCACGGTGCGAAGTTGGCGAGAATCCAATATGGCGACGAGGGTTTGAGTGTGGAGAAAACACGGTGTACAACTTAGGGTCCGCCGTGTGGGTGATTCACAACATATCTATGTGATTCATTCACCCTCAATACGCTGGAATCATTGTTTCATTTATATGAGCCACTATAATGATCTAATATCCGTCTGATTCTCACAGTGACAGTATATACATTCCGATTTTTGATTTTATTTTTGGACGTTTTTTTCCCTCCACCACAAATACGCCCAAATATAGCTGGCTTGGCAGTCAATTTACCCACAACACGTACCACAATAGTCAATACTCTGTAAATGAAAAAAAGTTGAATGCAGAATCTATGCTTTTATAATGCCCATAACTCAAGGTTGAAAGACAATGGTATTGTTTGCTCTTGAGACAAACTGTTTCTTGTCCTAAAAGAAACTCTTACGGGCGAGTATGTACAAGTTCTTTTAAATTTCAATTCAACTAGGAGTTGCTGCTAAAACTCTCAAAATGTACTTCTTAAATTAATAATTTAACATCAATATTCAACTGTGAAATTATCAATGCGAGTGATGTCTTGCAAAGTTGGTCAATGCAATTTAAAACTGAGTGCATCATTATTTCATTGAATTGTAATGGAAAATGTATAATCATGTTTGAACTCAGTCCCTGGCTGTACTATAGAGTAGGGTAATTTAGCAATAAACATGTTTGACTAATTACTTGTAAAAATAGCATTCGCTTGATTTGAATAATTTTGTTTCCTACAAATTCTGTGTGATTTAATTTTGTTTGGAGAATCATAACTTATTATAGTAGCTTGAAGCTGCTGGACTTAAAAATCAGTGGTTATTGTTTATATATTCTTTCCTTTAGCTTGATTTTTTTTAATCCAGGGATATAGTACTGAGACAACAAACTTGTACAATGGCTGTAATTTTGATTGATGGGAAGGATTTTATATTTCATAATACATATAATATTTCACTTTTGAAAATGCTGAAAAATTTCAATTCAACTTGAGTTCACTTTAGTGAATTAAAATTTGAAAGCAATTATTGATTATTAGTGAGTGGTATTTAGATATCTACTCTAGTGTATTTAAAAAAACAAACATGCATATTAGATGACCAATTTGGATGAAAATTTCTTGCTTTTTCAACTTTTTTAATCTAATTGACTTGTTCATATTTACTTAGCTATCATTTTTCAGTTATGCATTTATTACTTAATCATCATTGGTTAGAAACTATGATATTAATAAATATTTTGATACCAGTATATTTGTTTCTTCAGTTTAGTTTATTAATAACTTAACTCATTGTCACATGGTAGTTTTTGTATTTCCTCAATCTCAGAGTTTTTATCCTGAGGAAGATTCTTTATCTAGGATGTAATTCCTATTATTCCTGGTATTTTTTAATTAAAAAAAAAATCCCACAATTTATAAATGGCCTAGTTATATTCAATAAGTATATTACGGTAGTCTTTGTTTTTTGCCGAATTCTTGATTTATTATTTTGTTTTATTATTTTTGATTTTATTGCTGAATCATTACGATCCATTTTCCAACGCTTTCATAGTTGAAGTTAGCAATGATTAATAACTTCCATTGTTTACGAAAGCTGTGACATATTCTGAATGAAAATACGCAAGTGAAAATAAATAACCATGATTTTAGTTTTCGTTTGTGTGCCTATTGAATGTATGTTTGCCTTTGTGATTTAAATTTCAACTGATGTCCTTGCTGAGATGTCACTCAACTTCTATATTAATTTGCCTAGTTTGGGTTATTTTGATATGTGGATTTCATCAGCATTATTCTTTGTGTGATTATGGTGTGAATATAGTGTTCAATTAGATAGATTTCTGTTTCTTTGTCCTATTGATTCATTAAATAAATCATATCCATTTTATTATGCCTGTGTATTGATGAAACCAGTTTTATTTGAGAAAATCCTAATTTGAATATTATTGGTTTAATTTCTTGTTCATCACTTAAAATAAAATGTCTAATGAAACTAAATTGGACTAAATTGAAGTTGAGTAATATATACATATGTATAGTAGGTACATGTTTATGACCGATTTTCCAACTGTAAAATTAAGTAGTACATAAACAGTGGTTAATTTATTAAGAAAACAGAATAGAATGTTTTGCTCTGGCAATTCCCTTTGTCTGTTCCTTTTCCTGTTTGTCTGAATTTTTCATGGAGTTGCTGTCTATTTTATTTAGACTATAATGTTTTCTTAACACCCTGCACATAAACAGTCTTTTCATATAGCCATTTGTTTGACTTCCTGTATTACATAATCAATGCACAATAGGCATTAACAATATCCGTCTGTCACCTATTGTCTAGTATAAGTAAAATGTGGTGTAGGATCTCTTCTTTGTCAGTCTTCTCTTACCTCTGCAGTCTGCTGAAAGGTGCCTAGAGGCAGAATTTACAATCAATGGATGGTTTTCCTCTACTTTGTGGAATTATATTATTATTTTTTACCGAAACAGCTGAGCTTGATAAAGCTGAGTGAAACGCTTCTAATTTAAATTGACAAAAAAATACTAGACTAAAAAATGTATCTGATGTTGCTTTGTGACTAATTTAGTAGTTGATTGTGTGCAGGCATTCTATAAGCTATTTGATATTAAAAAACAAATTTGGAAATTAATTAAATTTTGTAGGTATACTTTTGGTGCTGTCACCATAGGTGAACTAAAATAATGACACACTGACATTCTCTCATTTGCAAATAATTAATTATACTATATTTCTGGCAAGCACTGTATAT